ATATATATAATATGTTTTTCATATTTCAAAATAATTTTTCAAAACAAAAACTCTCGAAACAAAACTATCACGTTGTGATGAGTTAAAGAAAGATTGTGGTGCATAAAATTTGTGGGAGGCGAATATTTTAAGTACGCGGGAGTAAGAAAAAAAAGCAGTCATACTCGATTAATACTTCTTTGTTCTCTTCGATATATTTTTGGTAATAGAATATTGGGGAGAAGAGGGACATATTTTTCATTCTTTCTTGGATGTCAACACACATTAAACAACGACGAGAGAAAAAATCAATTTCTTAGAATGAGAAGACCGAAAGAGCGATAATAAGAGAAGTTTTTTATTAGAAAGAGAGTTAAGAAAGTCTCCAAGACCGAGATGATTGCCTATAAAGGAGGAAAAGACAAAAGTGTTGATAGCTTATGAAGTGTTCTATTCTAATTAGTTAAGAGACAACAAAGCTGAAGGTGTCGATGTATTAAAATGTTCAAAAAATAGATTTTTCCTCACTAATAAATATTTTTTTTTATAAACAATTTAATACCGGAATTTTGGTCAAAAAGCGACTTTTTTGTAGAAACCGTCATTTTGTCAAACAACTTTATTTTGCTTTTTCCTTCAATTTGCTTTATTATTTTTAAAATTGCTTTAAAGGAATCAGTTGTATTTTTTAGTTTCAGAGAATCCAGTTCAGAGATATAGTGGTCACCGCAAACGTCTTTTTTGAGAGCAGCTCCCGGAGATCAGCTGTAGTTTCCTCACAAATAGACATTTGTACTTATCCTAAGTCTTAAAATACAGTTAAAARATACCTAATATGTGTATAAACTTTTGAATTAATAATTTCGAAAGTTTTCTCAGAAAAAATTCTGGAAATTTCGACTTTTATCCGGCCTTYTATATATAACCTTGTATATGTATAACCCCTTAAGCATTTTTCCGCGCAGTTGAAGTGTATAGTTGTTGTTGTAATAACAGCCGAAAATATTATTTGAACATTCTTGAGGAATTCTGGAGATTAGTTAGTCTTTGTCCAGATTAAATTTCGGGTCTGTTGCATGTCAATGCACTGGAGTGCTGTGGGCTTATGGTCCTCTTCCTCATTTGAGGTACTTTCATATCTTCCAATATTTTGATTATATTTATAGGTTATACAAATGAATAAGCATGAACAGAAGGTAATGTCGGACACWTTGCTGAGATATCGACCTAAGATTTGCACACGTATTTTTCTCTTGAAAAAGYAGCTCGTTTGTCCGAGCTACTATAGAAATTCACCGACGAAGAATCTGAACTGGTTCTACGTTAGTCGAGTCTAAATAGGCGGAATGGAGCCGGATTTCGATCCGACTAAGGACTGTCAACTGCGCACCATTCCCGAACTTATTTCAGGAATGTKTTTTGCCGCTACAACAAASTACCGATCAACATGAAGTCTTTCTTCGGCAAACTCTTTTTATTTGACRAAACATCTTTACAAAATTTGGCTAGGATTATTATCCTGCAAAATGCTACAATCTACGAAGAAATTGCTCKGGTGGAACCATAATTGTATATATAAATGACTAAAAAAAATCAAAATAAAGATTTTAATGTTATTTTACTATATAAAATTTTTTCTTTTTTTCTCTTTGGTGGAGTTTAAGAGTTTTTGATGATTTTTTGTTAACTCTGAAGTTGAAACTACCGATTTTACAAAAATAATCGCTCCAACCCCTCAGAGCCTTTAAACTACGAGTTGGAATTTGATAAATATGTTTAATCTCAGTTATGCTTTTTCCTCAAAATATAGACAAATGTGAATATTTATGCATATTCTCGCTAAAACCGTTTTCTGTGCGATTAGCGAGCAATTCACCAGCACCTGGGGGAGTCAATTTCAGGAATGTGTCTCTAATCAACACAACAACTGCCATCGAAATGCGATTGGAACATTTAAATTAAATTCAAAATGGCAATCTGGACGAACGACAATGCTGACTGCCTTGTACGGGTGTGTCTCGGCATGAGKCTGTGCGCAGTATTGCCSGCGTACCGTTGGCGAGAATACAATTAATTAAATATACACTAAACGCGCAAACATTTGATAACAGATTTGTTAACTAATTTTCAATGCGAAAGCAATTTAGTGACAATTTTACGTAGTTTGCGCTACACAAGCACACGCACATACGCACAACAGCCAGGCGAAATGTGTGCGTGTGTATGTGTGAGGGAGCCACAACGAAAAGCAGGACCTGTTATTGTTTGYCTGCTTGCCACCGGTCGTAGCCGAAAAACATCTGGTGCTGATGTTGTCGTTGTAGTTGTAGTTGTCATTATAGTTGGGGGCGCTTGCTGCCTGCTCGCTGCTTAATGATATTTAAATGTACGCACACAACAATTTTAAATTTTCCGAAATGCTGTTGTGAAAGTTCATTGCTGCTTCGTTGTTGTGTTGCTATTCCCCCGCTCACCGCTCGCCACCCGCTCGCTTGCTCATAATGACTGCTGGCGTTCATGCGTTTCGGGCGCTTAATTAAAACTTGTCGCCAGTACATTTGAGGACTTTGTTTTCGCATAAATATGTAGAGTCTATCATGTAGTTGTATGTATATGAGTGCGTGTGTGTGTGTGTGTGCTTTTGTTCGACTCATTCGCTTGGTCGGAACTGCGCGTTAGTAGAGGTGCGAAGTGCAAGAAATAGTGTTTACAGGAAATCAAGTTTACAGCGTAAATTAGAAGCAATTTTACAAAAATAGAGTACCGTTATACACTTTCCCTTTAGGTGACAATTCCYCGAGCCGACARATAGATCACCCGATCTTTACTCCCTCGTAGSCATATAAGGGCTATTTGAGTGCAGCTACGAGTTTTTCGCATATTATTTATATTACGCTCCTCCAGGTTTTGAATCTCACACTCCTTTTGTAATGCGTCGCAGACTTCTTTGGAGGTGGTTACCTCATCCAGKTCCTTGTGCATAATAGTAATATTATGAGTTTTCGGCTGTATTACTGCCATCCCACCAACCACTCCCTTAGGACACTCTTGAACGTGTTGGCTTTGTTATCTGGGTTTTTTTTATTTCAATTAGCAGGTGTCCATTGAAGGTTTTCCTGATACATCTCTCGTTAGAGCCCAGTTCTTCGAGGCCATTGCCATTTATTATTCTCTGTAGACTATTCGCATACTCCGACTTTCGCTGCTTCCTCCTACTAAAAAAGGCTGGACCAYAACCAACAAAGTTAAACACAGCCAAATCTATAGTGTGGACAACAACCCTCAAAGTTGCATTCAATTTTCAACTCAATTTGAATTCGATTAAGAATTAATGTACAAAATAAGTTTTTTGGTATAGAAAATCGATCCAAATTTATGCTTTAATCGGACAAAGGACAGTTATTAAAACAAAATATAACATTTTTATAACTATTAAAATATTTATGCCGAAATTCACGCAAAAAATAGAGCCATTGTATTTCTTGAAATATTACTATATTTTGTTCAAAATATTTTCACATATTTTTTTGGCATTGTTTGCTTCTATTTGGGTTTCRTTTAAACTTTTCATCTATATCGCCATACTAATTTAATGAAAATAGTCTTAATATCAAGCAACTAATTTAAAATGTTGCCTACTTTTGGAGGCGAATTTTAAGTTGCAGCAACAGCTCTAGCGAAGTCACAAACCAAAACAAAAGTTGTATGTTGTTTATTTAATTTGAAGCAAAAATATTGAAAAATAATTATTTGAAGATTTGGGTGATACTGGAGAAATTAAGAAATTAACTTAAAAAAAAACCAAAAAAGCATAACTTCCGTTGTAACGAAGCTATAATACACAGATCAGAAACAGAAAACAAATCCTTATAAGGACTTGATTTTGATCGGTCAGTCTGTATGGTAGCTATATGCTGTAGTAATCTGATCAGAAAAATTTATACACAGTTTTTGGTGTAGGCACAACAAGGCTGAACAAAAATCGATGCAAAATTTTTTGAAGGTATATATTTTAATCAATTAGAAAAAATTTCGAGGGCTCAAAAAACAATTTCTATTCCTAGAAAGAAAAATTAAATAAAATTTCCTGAAATAATATCCTCTCCACCCYTTTAAGGGTTATACAATATGACATAAATGTTTCCAAGGAAATATTCAATATCCCCATTAAGTGCGAGTGATTTGTAATTGATGCCATAATTGGCGCACCTGTTGCCACACTTTGCTGCCACCAAATCGTTTACTCACACAACAATAAAAAGCAAAAGCAAAAAAGGAATACATTTATATAAATGTTTCCGCACATGCACTTACCTTAAATCTATGTACTGGTAGACGGACGTTATGCCCAAATTAAAGTAGACTGGCACAAAAACGAAGCACACAATGGGATAAGCGCTGACCATGCCGTAGATGTTCTCCCACATGGCCGAGCCACGATAAAACAGCTCGCTGGGATAACCTGTAAGGCAGCAAGATGTAAAATATTATAAATAAGCATTTTGTTGTTATGTTGTTGATGTGYGTAGGTGTGGGTGTGGCAGTGGCTTTGGCAAATAAAAATTAAATAAGTCCACCTGAGCGCTGGGTAGTTATTCAATTTGCATAATATGCGTGTAATCTCTCGAATGCCGAGCGCACGTTCTCACATACACATACAGCACTCAATATATATATATACATATATGTGTGTTGCGACTAGTTAAATTTAAACTTTTTCTTTGGCAGAAGTTGCTTAACCTAACTCCTAAGTGGAAATGTATTATCCTTTCCGGTACACGCTAGTGCCAGTGTATATGTGTGCGAATTTTCGTTTTTGTTGTATAACTCGAATACAGTTATTCAAGAGATCTTTAGACACTTGGCCCAACAAGCGCACAACAAATCACTGGCTTAGYATGAGTACCCGGTATATTTGGCTCCTCGTTTCGAGTGCGAGTGAAGGCTGTGAGAGACTGCGGTGTGTTTGTGTGTTGAAGAGAGATAAAGGTATCATGCAGATAGGAATACTATATGCAAACAAGGATCTGCTTCATAATTGTTGTTGTACAACAGCTATTTGAACTTTTTATTTGGCGTAGCAGCAAGCAGCTGCAGTGAGTATTTTGAGTCTTTTTACGGGAATGGATATAATTAATCACAAAAGAGATAGAATCGGGTGTTACATATATGTATATGTAAAGGTGCAAGGAGTTATATGATATTTCATATTTGGGTAATTGTGCTTGTTTCATATATTTYAGCCTTCAAGTCTAATATTCCACTAAGTCCATTAGAAGCACCTTCTATCTCTTAAACTACTTGCCATGATTAGTTAATGGTCCATTGTTAAATTATTCTTTCTTTAATTCGTGGTTCTCATTAAAATTTTCAATAATTGCCAAATTCAAATTAACTCTCTAACTAGCTGTTTTTAATGGCGAAAAGCGTAAAACATTTCCGCGCTTCAATTGAATTTGAAATAAACGCAATTAGCATTAATTTGATTAGACTTACCTAGTACGGTGCGTACACCCAGCGTGCCGCGTGCAATTGATAACATAATGGCAATAATTGAAATGCCGCCTGTGGCAAAGACATAGTCGGCTTTGCTGCGCTCCTTCTTCTTGCCAAATATACGTTTCCACAGCGGTGCGAATATGGTGATCAAAATGAAGACCACAAACATGAAGTAGTCCCAGCCAAGTGATTTCAGTTCTTTAGCCATTTTGAGTGTGGATCTGATTTATTTTATGCGTGGAAAATTTATAAAAACTGCAAAAAAGTTAAAGAAACAAATTTATTAAATTAAAAGCATTAAAAGAATAAATACATTTAAAAATTAAAATAAATGAAATAATGTTTTTTGGAAGAAAAAAATAAGATAATCTTACGAATAATTGGTAGTAATATCAAGGAACTGAAGAAATCAAAGTTGAAAAATTTAGTGAGTAGTGAAACGAGCAGACGTAGATCTTATAACTGTAGTGCAGTAATCAAAACGAGAACGAATTGGAAGACATAATTGATTTGGTACCAATATAGACTATTAATATTGTACTGAACCCACTTTCATAACTTTATTGTTGTTTTTATAAAACTTAGCAGAGTGGCGAATCGAACAAATAACTCACGAAATTTCAATGGACRATGCAGCAGAATATAATAGGGAAACATTATCAGCTTACTGAGGTTCTTATTGCCACCATTATACTGAGACCAAACTATAAACGCTGTTGTTGCTTTCATATGAAAATATTTTGACAAGAAAGTAGAGCGCAAAAAGCGAAGAGAGAAGTGCCGAATACGAACACTTCATGATTACATACAAATCGGTTTAGGGAGTTTAAATGTCAGCGTAAGCTACTCCAAAAACGATTTCGCCGAATTTTTTTTAGTTGCTCACTCACTGCATATAGAAGTAAACATTCCAGATATTTCTTTTTCTTTCCGACGTGCAAATATTTATTTTTATTTAAAATTACGAAATATTAAGGGACTACATAGGTCAAAAAAGCAATTTTTTTATTGTCTCAAATTCCATATACAGCCTTGAAAATGTGTGCTCGTGAGGCTAGCTAGACTAACAGCGCCGGTTGGCAAGATTTCTCGAAYTATTTGAAAAGAAAAATAAATAAATAATGTCCCGAAATTTTCACTAAGATTTTCTTTTTTTGTAAAAAAGTCTGCCGAAAATTCAATTTTTTCAGTTTTTTCTTTCGTCCAAGTTTTAAATTGAAGTWTTAACTAAAACACGTAACACCATCAGAAATTGAAATATTGCAGACYCTTCTCTACTTAACCTTACTTTATTAGAAGCAGCACTCGGTTTCAACTAAACTTTAAACGCAGAATTTGCTTATCTTGCTCCGTACCTCGCTCTATGGATACCTTTTAATTCTAATTTATTTTGTGTCYCTGCTCTTTCTTCGCTATTATGTATATACGATATGTATGTGCAACATTGACAGTTACTATTCAATCCCTTTCATGCGCTCGAATTTGTGACATTACAGCTACAATGTGCCGTGCTTTTTTCTCAATTAGACACACTAAATGGAGCAACGTGCGCTAAGCTCTTAATGCTATAAAAACCGTTATACCATAACATGGAAATGGTTATCTTATAAAAATTACATGCGCACGAGAAGGTAGCAGCTCTGTTGCTATGTTTGTTATTGTTGGTGTAAAGTAGAGTTTGAAAGTCAAATTGAAAGCTGAGCGCTGATGGAGTGTGAGGCGGGATATGGAGTAAATGAAAGTCGTAAGAGAGAAATATAATAATTTAGGTGTTAATATATGGTGAGATATTTAAGGGTTTTATTATGAAAATCTAAATAGCGTGGGAATTGTTGTGAYTACAGGTTGTATAAAGAAAATATTTGTCGATTAATAGCCAAACTTTCCATATTTTTATCTTTCTTAAGCGGTTGCTTCCATTGCAAGCACAAAAATTACGTTTTTGGAGAGACATTTTATTTTGTAATTAAAAAAAGGTGTCTGGGGATGAGTTTGATATTTTTGCTTAAATTATCTTAAAACCAAAAACAAAAATAAATATATTAAAATAATAGATGTACACCGACAATGATCGAAAATTAGTAAACATCTTGATTTTCGACAAAAAGTCGCCATTCAGAAAAAAGTATTTTTGGGGAAAAAATTACAATTCAGTGTAACTTAAAAAATAGAAATAATTTTTAACATTTTTCTTACATCATTAACTGGAAAGTATATCTAATATACAATTCAATCGGCTCAGCTGTTTGGAGAAATTTTCTTCACCGACTCAGAAAATATTTAACAAGTTTTTGTATAATGGTGCCATGGTTAGAAGTTCAGGCTAGTGAGAAAAGTCCTCGGAGCGCTTTTGACTTGGGAGTGGCCAGAAACGTTTCTTTTACATATGGCTCAAGACCGACGTCTTAGAATATTTATCCTCTGGGTAGCCAAAAAACAAGCGTTTTAAGGCGCGCTAAAGTAAGAAGGCAAAGCCTTCCCTCACTACGCTTATGCGCTAGGTTTGTGTCCCGCCACGTAAAATACACTACCAATGTATTAGTATTAACATGACTACAGCGCTTGGGAAAGTATTATTTCAGGATGTATTAATGCATTGTTAGCTAGATTTTCGATCGGTTCTTCACTTCCCTAACCAAAACGAACTCTTTTTCTATGTATGTACATGTATACCGTTAGGATTGTATTTGAGTAAATTATATTTAAGTTTCGCACAAATGTACGTTACCATGTGCTGCGGTTAAATGAGATATATATAAGTACATAAGCATTACTGTACATACAGACATGTATRTACAAATCTATGTATGCGGCAAAATGTAACAGTGATGCTTGTGCAACCACCGCAAACCATAAATTTTAAGCTGGATAATACGGGAACGTTCATACGTTCCGTTTTAATTTTTCCCTCAACATATTTCCAGCTTACTGCGGTCGAGCTACACGTTTAACCTTCGTGAGCCAGCACATGGATTTGCTTGATTTCAGTGTGAGTTGTTGCAATGTTTTGCCTCTATTTGTATTGTTTTTTGCTGTTCAGTTTTTTGTTGTTGTTAAGTTTATTGTTATTGTTGTTAAATGTGTTGTTGTTATCCAGTTTTTTATTTGTTTTTGTTCACCTTTTCGTTGTTGTCGATATTTTTTGTTCGCTTTATAGCCGTGTGTTCGATAATGGCAGCCGGTAATCGCAAGTTTTCTTTGAAATAAATATGGTTGCTAGCTATTGCGAGCATAAGCYGCTTAAAGTCAGCATTTGCCTGTGATCGAATGTGTATAAGTAGTTTGGTATAGTTATCTGGCTTAACTGCTTACTTATATATAGTATATAGCTCATTAATATTTTTTTGACTCACTTAATTAATGTTTTTTTTTTATATCACATACAAATATATGTATGTAAGTGCATGTAGGGTAAACAAAAAAAAAAAAAAAAAACTTTTTAGATTCATTAATCATATTGGAACTTCTTTTTACAGGGTGTTTCATTAAAAGTTCCCTACCTTCTAAAAGAAACCATTCTTTACAGAACTTGAATTGATTTAATTTGTTCAGCCTTAAGTCTTTCCTTGATGAAGTAAAATGCTAAACATTATTGAACAATAAATATGGCAGTTTGCCTCTACTTGGATCACCCGTTATATAATACTATGTACATATAATATATTCTATAAGTAATACAAAGTCGTGTTACTTTACAAGTCCTGTAATTTGYTCGTTTCGATTTCGTTCGAATTTTTGTTATTGTTTAAGACAATTCAAACTGTGTGGCATGTCGCAAAGTAACTTCAGCTGCAATTTAACTTTTGTAGAGTGGTAGAAAATTTTGTTTACTTAGTTTTTCTTGACATTGAATGCGTGGGAATGTGGCTGCAACTAAACTCGWGTAACTTTTGCATGAGCTTAAGTCAACATGACAATGTATTTTTTGGTGCGAAAAATGYTTAGAAACTTTGTTTGCACAGATGAATATTCTTATACTAATTGGCGTTTTCTTCGTTTCTTACTATCAACAAGAAAAATCGTTTGAAAAAAACCTCGTGGTAAACTTAATATAACCCATAAGGGTAGGTAGGTAGTTGGAGTGACTGCCTGATTACGTACTTAGGCATTTACGAKGGTCATTGTGATACCCCTCAATGTATTGTCTTCTCTCTGAAGCACCCTGTGCTTCTGATAAAGTTCGTCAGTCCGATAGGTTTAGGTCGTCGTCAAGATACCCTCGACCGATGGTTGCAATTCTTTCCGCATAGAAGTTGTATTATAGTGTTCTCCTCTTCTATCTTCTGACATCTTTTACAACAGTCGTTACATGGCCTTCCTAGTCTACTGGTATGTTTGCTAWTTAGACAGTGACCTATTAATACTTCTTCTTGAGTTCTGGAGTTAGATTTTAGAGTAAGTCAGGGATTGATTCCGCCGAGACTTAGCTAAGTTTATAACGTATTTCCRGAGTCTAATTGTAGTGTAGTGCCGGATCTGGCTCGTCCATCTGGTTCACAGGGATATAAMTATGTCTTGTAACCCATTGTAGGTTTATCGTGGAATAGGATGTTAGATCCACTAAAATAAGCACTGATTCACTAACTTTGACGAAACCTTAAGATACTTTAGTGATATTAAAGCCATCTAGCTATCTGTATTTATAGATAGATTCCTTGTTATGAACATTTTTTTTATATTTTTATTTTATAAAAGTTTACATAACAATAAAATTATTACATAAATTAAAGATAACGCAGCGCTAGCGTCGGAGGTTTTSGGCTTGTTATGAACATACTCCTAGTCAGAACAAGAACAACACAAGACAAGACAAGAAGACACTTTAGTGGTCTGGTGGACAGTTGTGGGTTTTGGTTTCTAGCTTTGCTGTAAAGATTCCATTCYATTATCTAGTTTCGACCCATCCGTATAGATGCTTATCCCTTGCCTACTTCAACTATTTCTCACTCTTCTTTGAGTCGTATGGGGACCGAATGTAAATTCATCTCTATAGAATTTGGATCCGATCTTCTTGTAGGGCGTTTTGTCCATTCAGTTTTTCAAAACYTTAGCAGTGGCTTCTATTTGACAGAACCCTCGATGCTAAGAATTGATCTCCCTATATGATCCAAGACCAAATTAATTGAAATAAAAATAGATTATTCACGAAAATCCGAAATTTTAGGCTACAAAAAATAAAATATGTTTAACTTCGTTGACTGTTGATGCAATGACATGCAATGTTGATGTTACTCCCGGGTATGTCAAAATAGAAA